TGTGTGTGTGTGTGTGTGTGTGTGTGTGTGTGTGTGTGTGTGTGTGTGTGTCAAAACAAGGACAGACAAGGACAGCAGCACATTGAATCAGCTGGGGGGGGGTCGGTTAACTGAACTGTCTGAATTTATTTAAGCTCCACGTCTTTACTGCTTTGTTTGTTGTTTGTTTGTTTGTTTGTTTGTTTGTTTGTGAGTTAAAGCTTCTAACTTGTGATATTTCCAATTTAACTCTTTCAGAATAAAAGCCTTTCCTTTACTGTTTGAAGTAAGTCAAACAACAATTCATCATATTTAATACACTCATTATCTCAGTAGTTCTTTTTGACGCTCTTATTTTGAAGTTTAGCAGCTAAAGATGCTACATGCTAACACACACGGTGCCTGTATGGGGATAGGTTTTATTTAATTCAGGATAATCTGCATATAAAGTAGAAAATTTACACCTGTCAATTATTTAGTGGACTTAGAATTAGTGGAACTCAATTTAGTGGAAGCTAATCGGTCGGCTAATGGCTTCCACATTTAGCTGAAATAAAGCTAACGAGAAGCTAGCTCTGTTATTAGCAGAACCACAGATTAAGGTAACTTCAGACCTGATCAGATTAAATTAATCTCAGTTACTTCCTGTTAAATCTGGAACTGTTTAACGGTTGAAATAAAAAGATCTGAAGTGTGAATCTGTCTGCAGACGGGTTCTGTACAGACAGGAACAGGAAGTGCTGTTGTGGTATTAGGAGAACCGTCAGGCCCGTCTGGTTCTGCAGGTCCACAGTTAGACCTGGAAACAGCCGGGTCTTCTGGGTCCTCTGGGTCCTCTGGGCCTTCTGGGTCCTCTGGGCCTTCTGGGTCCTGACAATGGTCTTTTGGGTTTTAAGCGTCGAGGCAAACAGCTGCTGATGTGAGGGAGGGATTAACAGGCTGGCAGATAAATATAATCCTAATCTGCTGTTTCTGGGACTGGTCTTATGTAATCCTGATGCTGGATTTGCCTCGTGTCGTTTTCTGACCCGGTTCTGTTGAACAGAATCAGCGTCAACTGGTTTGAAGGTTCTGACTCTGCAGTTTGGACCTGAGTCTCTTCCTGTCGGGTCGGGTTAGACCCACTCAGCTGGTCTCAGCTGGTCCTGACCCGGTGCCTCAGACTCTGAGACCAGACCAGACTCTGAGACCAGACCAGACTCTGAGACCAGACCAGACTCTGAGACCAGGACGGTCCAGGTCTGCTGTTCCTGAACCCTCCTGACTGCAGCTGCTTTTATTTATATGGTTTAGATTTATTAGTTTATTTATTTATATCTATATAT